TGGCCGGCAGGAAGGGGAACAGAAAGAAGGAGGGCCAAATGGGGAAAGAGGACAGGAACGGGGAGCAACAGAATACATATCAGACCACCCTTCGTATACCTAATCAAGGCTTAGTGTTTCTGCGATACACCAAGTATCTGAGCCCCGCAGGGACCCTATAAAGAGGTATCTCGATGAATCCACTCAGGTGGGGAGAGAGGGGATTTTGAACACTGGTCAACTTCCTCATCTGCCCTTCCTTTCCCATCAATGCCAACTGAACGATGTCATCATGCTTCTGCACGATGCACCTTCCCTCCTTCCGCTCTCTCCTTTATCCGCCGAGTGGGACTGGATGACGAACACGACGTTGACCTCGAACTGCGCACCCTTCCCGCCCCTTACCACCGTGAAAGAACGGCGGGCGTGGGGCTTCAAGCACTCAAAAATAAGGGGAAAAGCACTCGAAAAATAAGGTTGAAAACATGCCCTTGGTGAGGATATAAAAGGAGAGTAGAAAACAAAAAAAAAATATAGAAGAGAAAAAGAGAGAGAAAAAGACCATGGGTTGAATACTAACATAACTACTGAAAATACAGTAAATAAAGCAAGCCAAGTGAAGGTTCCGTCATCAGCGGGGGAAAAGCGGGACAGCCAAAATTTGAAGCTGCAGAAACCCAAACAGAACGACACTAATGATACCACATGTACTATTACTATGTGTTGGAATAAGGAAGGCAGTGATGTCATAGGGTTACATGCGATGTCACCGAAAGATAGCAGGGGATTCGTTGGGCACGGAACCCGGTGTTGGCTGGCTCAAGGTTAAACAAATGACAATGTGGAACGCGGGGCTCCGCGAAGCGTTTGAGAGGCCATGCTCCTTCTCAGAGATGTTTCTTTTGAGGTAAATGCGCAGGAAGGATCGACGGTTTTCGTGCCATTCATGTTCAGGTGCAGCCTTGTCGCTATCTAGTTGTGATGACGACCGAGTGCGCCGTTATGCAGCAGGAGCTTGCCAACCTGCTCTTTCGAAAAGCCGATCATGCTTTTTTGAGCCTCGTGAGAGGGTCGAACACATACAATAAGAGGCTTTTCTTTGGTCTTCTTTTCGATGCTGCGTACGTCAGAAGAAGAGAAGTAAAGGCGCTCTTGAGATTTTTGGATTTAAAAAAAAACACAAGGTGGCCATCTCCTTGTTCCTGGTAAGTTACACTGGTTCCAAGAGTCTGCCTGATGATGTAGATGGCAAAGGGTTTCAAATATTTGAACCTCCGGGGATGAGGGTCCCCCTCGGCTTGGACCCTAAGGGAGACAGGTGCCTGCCCTCAGCCCTCTAGCGACACCCTCATACTGCAGTTTTCTATCCGAGAGGGATTGCATCAACGTTCCCGCATCGCGCATCCGAACTTTTAGTGAAAAGGGGTTCAAATAATAAGGGGGACAAACCCCCAAAACAAGGGTCCGAAGCCTCACTTATCCACCTCTCGAGATCTCTTTTTCGCCAGCCAAACTAACGTCGCAGGCAATGTCCACAACCGCCGCCTCTGCGCTCATTCTCCAGACACGAAGCGCGCATGATAACATCACCTTGCCTCAAGCGCGCGACCCCCCTCCCCGCCAACTTTTCCTTCCGCTTCATACTCCTCTGTCTCCACGCCCGTGTTGGGGGTAAGTCCTCGCCGAGAGGTCATTGCTGGGGCACACACCCTTACTTACAAAGTCTCTTCATTCTGCTGAACGGGAGGACCGTTTGGCAACCGCCATCCACACCCTCTCCTCTTTCTCTCTACGGACGGTTGAGAAACCGGGTGAAGACCATCGTATTTTGAGAGCTCCCCGCAAAACCGAAGACTAGTGCCATCTCGGAACGGTTTGACTTCATCTAGTCTTCAGTCAACGAGGCAGGGTGCAAGACCGGGAAGTGCAACGGAATGGGGGACGGCCGGTCCCAGCAAACTGCTGATGCCATTAAAACCGGATAGCCTCCAGAGGAGGCCCTGGTCGGTTGGATGCTCACTGGCAGAACATTACCGTCCGTCCTACGGTACACTTGGAGCTGTGCGTTGTCGTTTTGCTTGTGCGTGTGCCCCCTGGATACTTGCTGGCTGATCTGAGCAAACACCGCGTTCTGTTGGACGGAGGGATCAACCTTCCGGACAAAATGCTCCGTTCGGCTCAACGTCCTCGGTTTTCGACTGGCCGCACCACTGGCACACCCCCGCGCCCCCAGGAAAAAGAAAAAGGGAGCAAGTTGGATTGTGTGGGGCACCGTTCGCGTCAAAGCTCATCTCGGATTGGGACCCTTCAATGGTCTTCACCACAACCACAGATGCAACCAAAGACGGCAAATTTTTACGACGTAGATTCTCGCTTTTGATTACCGGCGTGGAAGAATGGAAGATTACCGGCGTGGAAGAATGGAAGAGGCACGAAGAAGGAAAAAAATAAAGGCCAAAAGACAAGGGGCTCAAGCAGTGATAATTCCTGGCCGCCGCTTGGAGGCAAGATGATCCACTAACAATTCTCAGAAATTAGCTTGCAACATTGGACTGGAGGCATCCATGTTAGGCTAACCCTATATCTAGCACTCTGGAATGTCAATATGGATCAATCCACCGTTCATCGATCAACTTTAACGGGCCCGATTCAACCCTCCACGCACGATTGACGGGTCATTCACCCATGGAACCAGCTATGGTTAGCCAAGCACGCGCCGACCCCAATTATTGATGGGCCACAATCCACAGCGCCATAGCGTCTCGATGCTTCAGTGCACCCTCAGACCTTTTAACTTCTTACTGATAAGCCCAGAGTGTTATTCGGTACCGTTGCTACTCGCACAGAATCTCGTTCCCTATTCACGTTAGGAATTGCCCGTATATTGGATATGGGCAAGCCTAGTCAAGGGGAAAATCAAACGGAACCAAGAAAAGCGATGTTTGTGTTGAGCGCACACTCTCACACCCTCCGTTTCCTCCTCTATCTCAACTCCCCTACCAAAAGAAAGGGGAAAAAAAACCACACACCATTGCCGCCCCATTTCATCTCCGTCGTTAGGTATTATGACTAGCAAGTCGTGCACTTATCGGGCCCGATAGATCCTCTTCTTTCCCTGTGAGGTCTGGTGCTCTTTCGCCCGCCATGTCCATCCAAGTTCTCTGGCAAAACCCCTGCTACGACCTTTCAATTTAGCGACTTTTTCTCGCCCTTTTCTAGAATGTCTGTGCGAAGGACAGAAGTTCGATCGTTGGCAGAGACGGGACGGACATGAGGGAGGAAAACAACCACGAATTTTCAGTGGCATGTTTGGCTTATCCTATTCTTACTCGTCACAAAGGACGGAAAAGAACGAGTAAGCCCCAGACGATAAGCCCTATCACGTCCGCACCCAAGATACATGTAACGAACCCAGGGGAGTTGAGGTTACCCCAACAGAGCAGAACATATCCGTTAACAAATCTAGCTACGGGTTGTGGATACAACCCAAATTGAAGGGGTATTTAGGGAGGAAAAAAAAAAACAAGAGGACGGGCATTTGATGGAACCAACCCCCCCGGTCTAAAGGACGGGATGATTTCGACTTGACCTCATCGCGCAGCACTGCGCCAAACGTCCGTCGTCCGTTGTCCCTGTCCCCTCTTGAGAACGACTGGGGGTGAAGTAAAAATGGGAGACATACGTCAACGGGGTCTCCCCACCTCTCCCCGCCCTGCACCTTAGCTTTAAGCCATTTTGGGTTGGAAAATGGGGACCCCGATGCAATGAAAGGAGAACAAGACCGTTCGTCGACCGTTTCTCCGATGTCCGTGATGCGCTCCTCGACGGAGATCCAGTGTGCAAATTGCCTGAGGTGAGACGGAAACGGGAGAAACAAAAGATGGCTTGAGGTGCGAAGGGAAGACCGGCCCGTTTTATCTCCTAGGCTACGGCTCTGTTCCCCCTTCCCTCAATCCTGAAGCGGCGGAAACAAGCAAGCGCTTTAGACGCAGGCGCGGGTTGAGAATTCTGTGCCTTTAACGAGGCGAGCAAAGACCAAACGTTTCACCAAATCAAGGGAGCTGGTGAAAAATGTGAAGGCACCGTCGGGAGGCAATCACCGCCATGATAGATTCAACGATGCGTTACATCGGACTTTAAACACGCTGCTGACTGGTCTTGGCGACGTGGCTGGGGTTAGATTTTCTTAGGAACCGCTTCAAATCCGTTCCTTTTCACGTTCCTTGACTCCCCGCGGTCGTACCCGTGGCATCTGGACAGGAGGTGGCAATGTCGATCGTCTTGAAGGATGATCGACTATTGCTCCCTTGTCAGGGGAGATCTCCGATGATGAAGGGGTTCTTGGGGGCCAGGGGTGAAGATCGGATAGCAGCTCGTGTCACGGGTGGTGGCGAGATGATGGCGAAGGGGGTTCGCCACCTTAAGGCCAGAGGCCACGCGGTCGCTTTTTAAATTGTTCTTATAGACCCCAGACAAAGAACAAGAAATGGCAAAAGGGGGCCGAACACCGATAGTGGGCTCATCTTTTGAGGGGATGCCCCTTCGTCGCCGAGACGCGCGCCTCGCGATGCATACATGGTAGGAAGGATACCGCTCTCCGCGTCTCATTCAGCTCTTGTTAGGGTCACTAAGTTGGCCGGCCTCGTTCCTTATGAACCTTTCATGATAATGCAGTCTGTGACTTCCATTTCTTCTATAAGAAACCCCTCCCAAGCTTTGAATTCATGTAGAGAGGTTCATTCCAAGACCGTTTATGCATACATACATCTTCCGTAGTGACAAAAATAAGGAAGCAAAAAGAAGGAATCGAAAACGAACAAAAGGTAGAGCGGAGGAAAGAGGCGCTCCTCGGACTGGCCCTTCCCACACAATCCCGACGTTAGTGTAAACAGTCATCAAAAGTAAAACGAAACCGTATCCAAACTCCTGCATGTCCAAAAGAAAACAGACCCAGATTATAGCTAAACATCCTCGCTAGGGGCATATCCTCTCGTTTACCAATGTCCCGGCTGCCCGAGTAACTAGTCCTCCATCTTGACATCCGCGTCGCGAGGCTTGCTGAGATTCTTTAAAAGGTAGCTTCTCTTGAAGTACTCATTAGGATGCACAATGGTCTCAAGCTGGGCGGCCGTCATGATTGACTCGTCCTTGGCTCGCTTAATCTCGGGCTTGTGAAGGTGTTCAAAGACGCTGAGAAGACCAGATAAAGTTAGTATAGATAAGATAATCTTCGATAGGAATAAAGAATTATGGGGAAAGAGAAAGAGGGGATGGATAGCTTTCGTACCGGTTGCAAGCCATGTGGTACCTGCGGCCGTCCCTATCCTCCTTAACGCCTTGTACCACAGCCCTGTCGGTGACACCCATGCCTTGAAGCAGGGTGGAGAGGTTATCCATGTCAAAGTGCCTGTAGGGACAGCCGTGGGCCTCGCCCGGACCGGGAGCGTGCTCAGTGAGAATCTTTTGACAGCTGTAGGGGCTGTAGCCGCCGCTCCTGCGGTTTGAGTCACCACCGACGTCGCCGTAGACGTGCCGCACGTTGTAGCGGTACTCCTTGTTGAACTGGTCGTCAGTGATCTTGGCGAAGCCGCCGCGCCAAAAGGCGAGGGACTCTTCGAGGTTAAGGCCGATGCCCTTGAGAAAGAGCGAGTATTGTAGGCGACCGTAGTGCTTGAGATGAGAGTCGCGCCGCAGGCTACGGTGAAGGTGAGACATGCAGGCGGGGAAGTGCTGGGCGAGATTGTCGATGTTGCGGGCGCTGATCTCGGCGCCCTCGGGCACTGTGGAGCCGGACATGTAGGAACTATCCGGAGTGACGAAGTTCTTGGACAAGTGATCAAGAATGGGAAGGAGACGGTCATCCTCATCTAGGTCGGGTAAGGCTTGCGATGTGAGCTAGAGATAGAAGGAAAGGTCAGCGCTAGCTCATGTTAACTCCATCTAGCTTCACATCACATGGCTAGGGTGAAAGAAATAGGATACAACAAGCGGCACGGCTTTAGGGATATACGCACAACCAGCTGCTTTTCCAAGCGCGACGTGAACTCGGTGACAATCATGCTTGCTTGTTCGCGACTCGGAACAAAGGCCTTTCCAGCCCGCAGAAACACCTTTCTCGATTCTACGAGCTCGGGCACGCGCATCCAGTCAACCTTGAACCACGAGTCCTCGACTGCGCCAGTGCGCTTGTCAAAGCCGGTAATGGCTAGTAGATCCGCCGCCATTTCGCTCTTCTCGGCCTCGGATACGGGCTCGAACCAGTCAATATCGAGGCCGGCGACGAAGCCTGCGCGCTCGGCGTCAGTATCGAGGCGCAGGCGGAAGAGCATGGTCTCGACACGGGAGAAGCGGCGGCGTAGGTCTTCGGTTGAAGAGAAGGCGAGGCGGAGAATGAAGTGACTGTAGTGGTCCTTTTGGCGCTGCTCGAACAGCTTGGGAGACGCGGACGAGTTGGAGGAGAGTGGTAGGTACTTTTCGAGGACGGGCTTCATGTGGGCGGCAGTTTCGGCTAAGGACTTGTTGCGAAATGAACAAGCTTCGAGCTCGGAGAGAACTACGAAGAAAAGAACAAGAAGAGTAAGGGTTAGCGAGGCTCTCTTTATCACACACGCACACACACACACACACACACACACACTCTCTTTCTCTAAGGTGATTTGGATGGCGTAGGATAGGGGGAAGGGAGAAGGTTCCCCGCAGAAGGGAGTATGATGGGACGCGCGGGAATTGGGGGTCGCACCTCTCAATCTGTCGATAGCCCATTGTTCAAACTGCTCGAGCGTGATGTCGGCAGTGGGAGCATGCGTGTAGAAGTTGAGGCGATGGGGATATGTCGAGTCCTTGAAGGCGGCATCGGCGGGTTGGTGTTTGCGAGCGTCTGCCACATTTCGTCGCTTTGGCTCTTGCCGGTTAAAATCCTGCTTGAGCATCTTTTCTGTTTGAAATAGTTACGCAATAGGTTGGGGAGTTTCGATTTTGTCGTCTCGGCGTTTGGAGGCTTCAGGGTCGGTTATCCCTCTCTCACGAACCCTCGTTCAATGGGGGTTTTTGGCTTCGAGTTGGTTTAGTGGGGATGATTTTTGGGCAAATTTAGGTGACGCGACAAGAGACGCGTCGAGGCGTAAAGAGCCAAAGTCTGTGGGGTTCCTGTTTGAAAGGTACCGATGTATAGTGCCGGTATTTATCCGACATCCAATTCCTAATTCCCCATTCCCAACCCACATTGTATTACATTGACAGCCTTCAAAGTTTCCTCCCACTATCACCGAGGTGCATGTATTCAATTCAAGGCCCAACCTGGAGAGCAAATTGAGATGATGTAGGTTAAGAGCATAGCGTCTGCTTGACACTCAAAAACTTAGAGATGGCACCAATTGCCCTGGAACTGATTCCAGCCGGCCAGAGATCCCCTTGAAGATTCCATTATGTCAGCTGGAGGTCTTGGGAAAGCGGTGGGTGAGCCGAGCCTACGTCTAACCCTTTATTTCAACCCTCTGCCGCGGAACGGGGCGATTCCTAATTCATGCAGGCTGTACGGAAGTAGTTGCCCCACCCCGTGGCAGCCAGGCTGGGACCAACACCAGGCAGGACAGTGAACGCACTGCAGCGACCTAGACTCGTCGGAGGAGGCGAGACAAAGTTGATCGCAACGAAGTTGTTCCTCGTCCATCACAACAGGTTTTAGTGGAGGGCACCACAGCGGCGTAATGCATTCGGGCCCATCGTATCTGGCCGGCTTCCCTTGATGACCTCAACGACAAGCCATTACCGTTAACCTGAAAGCCAGCCCTAGGGCGTCTTGAGGTGTAGCTTCATCTCGTAGGAGTCTCGGCAATATCCAAGTCATGCCGGTGACCTTTTAAGGCCGATGACCAGGTCCCTTGCACGCATGCACGAACGCAAACTTCTCAACCTCAGACATAGGAGTGGAAGTCCCCATGTATCGAACGATCCTAACAACCGCATACGGCTCGTGAACCCGTGTATTGGAATATTAGGATGTACCACACAGTATTTGTTGTCACTAGTCAGAGGTCAGCAACCGGTGACCCTGAAATAGGCGCGCAAGTGGTGCTACGACTGGGAGAAGCGATCCTGTGCTGTGGCCTACTCTAACGTACCGGCTCTTCAGCAATATGAAAAAACCACATTAACACCTGCGCTTCCCGGATTCCTAATTTTCTAATTCGGGGCCAACGGCGGAACGGCACGCCTGCCTTAAAATTGCAAGGCTCGCATTTTCATCGTCGACAGACCCTTCTCTTTCTCCCCTGCCCAGTCTCTATTTTTTTATCTCTCTGGTTTTACTATTCCCCTGACAACGTGCAATCCCTCTAAGATCCTCATTCGCCGTGAAATACTCTGAATAGGTGAGTATGAGCGTGTGAGAGTGTGTGCGTGCGCCTCTGTGTATCCTTCAACCTCACGACCAATCTTGCGACCCCTCGCTTTTCCCATCCTTTTGCTGAGTGGTTGCCTGACCCTCTTTCTTTCTTCTTGTTCCAAGCTGACGTTGGTATTTGAGCCCACCACTGCCATCGCAGTCCCTGAGCCGGAGGCTGATTGATCCAATTGAGTTCATTGCTGTTTGTACCTTGCCTTCACCGACCAACAATTTCTCGGCGCCGGAGGGACGGTTGACGCCCACCTACACAAGGCAGCACCACCAACACAAGAAGACGCGCCCTGCTGGCCGCCTCCACCACTCCAGAGTGGTCTCACACTTTGGCACCGCCCACTTCGGCTCTCTAGGTCAACAGCCGCTCACCTCTACATGGCGGAACCCTCATTATAACACTTTCTCCCCTTTTTCAAGACCAAGCACTGCTCGACCAGCCATGGAGGATATTCTGGAGATGGCAGCTCAGCCGGAGCCCACCCTCTTACAAGCGTGGGAAGCGCAGCAGGCTCCGATCCTACCACCAGCGCCACCGCTAGCCGTGCCTCATTTTGCTTATGTAGAAAGATTTGAAGGGTTAGACAAGAGCCCCTCAGCCCTATCTATTAGGCCCTGCCCCGTTATGTCCCCACCCCCGTAGGAAGTTTTCTTCTCGCTAACACACCCGGAGCAGCGGGACCGAATATCGCGGTATCTCAGCCGGGAGGGGAGGTTCATTCCAGTTCGCGAGCTTCGGCAGTCTCCGCACATCAGCTTCGTTGTAGAAAAGGACCGCATGCGTAAATACCTCGGTATCAACATTGTGAGCGATGTCTTGATGAAGGCCATTTTCAACGCTCTTGCCGCCTTCACGCCTGACCCAGAGTACCTCCCCGCCGATTTCGACACGTTAATCAAGTACTATGACGCCCTCCGCCAGCACCTCGAGTTCTTGGAGGGACAATTTCCCAACGATGAGGCCACCCTAGAGCTCCGCCTTTTAGTGGAGGACCTCTTGCTCGATCGGGCCGTATATGAGGGCGTCGGCATGGAGCAGTTTCGCCAGCGCGGCCTGCTCTGCCACGCCCACCTCCGCGACATCCACGAGCGCAGCATTGACGCTGGCTTGGACGAGATTGATGACTGCTTCGCGCTAGGCCTTATGCCGGCCTACATCACTGACGACTATCTCAGCGCCCTCAGTGAAAAGTACACCCAGTTCGCCCTCGCCGGCGACTTTGTCGGCCTCTACAACCTTTGCGAGCCCGTTGCTCGCTCCGGAGACATCGAGCTGCAGCACAACCCTTCCCTCCTGCTTAAAATCCTGGACCAGGAACGCTATGACATCTACTGGTACCTCCTAGATCTGGTGGACAGGACCACCACCAGGAGGCAGTTCATCCCCGGAACACAACTCGAGGATGTCACCCTAGACCGTCTGCATATCGCCATTCGCTACGGCCATCTCAAGATCGTCCAAACCATGCTTGCCGAACAAATCACCTTCAAGGGCCACGTCTCCGACGACGACGCCATCGGCATAGGCCATCATATATTCACCCCGTTGTCCGCCGCCGTGTACTGGCGCCAGCCCGAGATCACGCAGTACATCCTTGGGTTCGCCCCGTACGACCGGTCCGAGCTCGAGACCGCCGTCACCATTGCCCTGGCCAACGATGACTTTGAGCAGATGAATATCCTCCTTGAATCCGGCGCCCTTGCCATGCTTTCCGCGTCCTCCCTCTCGAACCTTCAGAAGATATCAGCTTGGTCGACCTGAATCTCGCCTCGCCCGCCATGGAGATTCCCGTTGCCGCGAGTCCCACGCGTGATCATGTTATGCTAGGCGTTTCCTACAACTTCGACCGCCCACAGCCCCCGTCTCCGCCATTTGAGTGGGAGAAGGACCTCACCATCACCCCGGCCACCCGCGGCTGGCTCCCCGCCACTACTGCCTCGGCCACAGCCCCTAACCTAGGCTCCTTTGAGTCAGCGTCGACCGGAGGAGGATCTAGGTCTAGACGTAGAGGACAAGAGCGTACCAGCTTTAAACTCGGCGCCCACAAGCGGCGGTCCGCCCAGATGCGGAGGCAGATCTTGGGCAAGAACCTCATCACTTACCTCGACTGCCTATGTCGCAGGGTGCGGGACACCCTCGCCGGCTCCGCGGCTGGGACTTTGGAGGCCACGCTTGCTCTACATTTCTCTTCTTTCGCAAAAGTGTGGGATGGGGGCCTTGCGGCGTTTAGGCAGGTAATCAACAATCACCCGCCCAGCGGCCTCATCGAGGTCGTGGACTGCTTGGTGGTGGCCAGTGCGCTGTGCACATCAATGTGTAACGATGACAGCGCAATGTATCTACAGTAAGTACACTACGCCTCCAGCGAGCACTGGAGATCAGCCTAGGGTAGGCCCATATGCTAACAAAGCCGCACCCCCAATAAGGTTCGTAAACGATCTTGGCCGCTGGAAGGCCGTCCTCGATCCGGACGAGATCCCCCTCTTCGACACCATCGCCTTCTCTCTTTGGGCCTATACCGATCTCCCAGACCCCGCGACATACGAGCGAAACGACAAGGAAAACCTTGCCCGCTTCCAGGAGCTTATCCAGGACCTAGTCACCCTCGAGCGGAGCCACCACCGCAACCCCGGCCGCACCGCCCCTTACGCAAGTCGCCTTAGCACTATACAGAAACAGTACACCGCGGCCGAGGGTGGCACCGGTCGCACCGCCACCGCCACCGCCCCCGCCATGTCCATACCAATACCGGCGGGTAATATGGCGCGCACGAGGCGGCGGCTCGCCGACGAGGTGGCATTCACGCCTGATTCTGTCGGAGACGACGGCACCGGCGCGGGCTTCTCCATCGACGAATTTTTCGACGTTGACCGGTTCTTGGCCGAGAGCATGGGAAGCGATGCCCCATCACCGGAGCGGATCCCGGACCTCGGGCTGTACGACATCCTAGCTACGACGGCACTGCTGGTAGCATCCGTGGCGTTTTCGGTCATTCTGACCTTGATGTCCTGTAAGTGTTGTCTAAAAGCAATCATTTTTCTGTCTTTTCTTTTCTTTTTCTCTTTTTCATATCTCCGTTTCGTTCCGTTTCTTATCTCCTTGTTTCCGATGCCATCCTCTATGTTTCCATTAGCGCCCCACTCTAGCCTGCTTGCTTCTTCCCCGTGTTTTGTCCGCGCCGCTTCCTTACCTGATGGCTGTTGACTGAAATGAACAAAAACTACAGTTCTCCAACTTGGGTTTGACAGTGAAGAGGTTCACCAAGTCTGGCGGCAGAGCCCCGGATACGACAGGTCATGCAATCTTTTGAGTATGTATTTCGACAGCATCGGCGGCTATAGTAAAAGTGCCGAGGCCACCAGGCTCCTCCGCCCCTTTTCTCTTGACAGGAGGATCGAGAGCCTCTCCTTGTCCGTTGTGTCGGCGGCGTCCACGACCTACACAGGTTCTCCCGCTTCTTCTATCAGCCATCCTATCCTGGCGCCGCAGGCACGGACGAGTTCCATGACCAATCTCAAGTAAGTCCCAGTGTCTCTTTCTCTCCTACCCATTGCGGCCCTTCCTCCCCCGTCTCCTCCCCCATCGCCGCTCTCTTTGATTCTGGAGTAATAGGTGGTGGGATTCACACCCCCTGAGACTGGCTGATACCGCGAGTATACATGCCCGATATACATACCCCAAATCCCACTTTGCAAAGAGCCAGCATCGCTAACCTCCTCCCCCTTTCTTTTTCCCCAAAGCTCCGTGCCCAATCGTGACCCAGCTGCCGACGGCGGGCGGGATGCGAAGCGCTCCCGATGCCACAGCTGCCAAAAGACCTTTTCCAGCATCAGCAACCGGAACAAGCACATGCGCGAAGGGTGCGCCCAACGCACAGAGAAGACGGGATACCGGTGCCGCAACGAAAGCTGCTCGCGCATCCTCACCACCAAGTGGTATCGCAATGCGCACGAGCAGGATAGGTGCAGGTATCGCGGGACGACAGGGGCTGGTAGCGCGGCGGGATCCTTCGGGTGAGGCCTTCTTTCCCTCACCTTTCTTTTCCTCGGGCTCCTCACTTCACTCATTTTCTCTTCCTTTTTATTTTATTTTTATTTTTATTTTAGCAGCTTTCATGGACATCTATGTCTGGGGCTGCGTAGTACGTAACAAGGGCCCTCTGTTAGATAAGATCTCACTCCCTGCTCTTGCTGGGCCCCCATGACTCCCTCCAGCACAACGGACGGTATTGCAAATAAGGTTCTATGCATATCGAAGAGCCGGACTCTTCACGCGTGCGAAACTGAGTCATGGCCGGCCCTTCCCACCTATTCTCCTTTCATTCCTTCACTCTTTATATTCCTCTATAACACAAGCATATCCCACTGGTGGGTAATCGCTGTATAGTATTGGCGATGCGCGAGGGGACCTCTGACTTGCACATAAATTCATATCCCGTAAGGAGGCTCTCACCACGGGTCTTTCGACAAGAATATACGCTTTTGAGACAATAGTCTGTGCCATAATGGCATAATTGGACAATCTTTCTGAACTAGACGGTAGACTTGTGGAATAGCATACGTGCACACGGTTTTCCCGGTGACCCTCTTAAGCGCTTATACAACACGAGTACAACCAACCCAGCCACCAAAGCCTACGTTATTATTTCCTCTTTCTAGACGGACTTCTTCGAAACGAGCATTACGGTTCCTTCCCGCCTGATTTTTCTTCCCTTCTAGAAAAGGGCGGTGGTAGCGAAGTTGATTCAAATCCATAATATCTCACATGGGCATTACGTAGGTCTCGTGGCGGTGCGAGGGAGGCGACGTGTTGGTTGTACGACCATGCAGATTTCTTGGGGTTCAGCTCAGCTCATCATAAGTGAGGCCAACGCTCGTTGTGGTTCCGCGTGTTTCCCAGCCCTATGGGATTCGTTCGGAAACAGAAGAGCAAAGAAAATGAAAATCAGGTTCGTCATCCCGCGGAAACCATCACTAAACCGAAGTGACAGCTTGGGCCTTTTAAGACATCGGTGACGTAAATCAGGCCTCCTCACCTCACCTCACCTTAAAGTGGCGTGCACATTCTTGACACACTCCAAGCCCGCGCTTGCCGTTGTCTGTTGAAGGATGCGGCCATTCCTCCCGCCAAGGAAGGGGACGGGCCAGGAAGAACACGGCTCCTAGCGGGCGTGGAACGGTAGCGATGCGATTCCTGCGTCCTGCACAGGGCAGGCCAGCCGAGGTAGGCGAAGCGTTGAGATTGATCATTTAATACTCTCTCACGGCCATGGGCCTATTCATCAACTTGCTCTCCCAAAGAGCGAAGGGGGCCAAAAATAGACGTCTTTGTTTCTTCAGAAAGAGCGTGAGGATGCAGCGACAACCAATGATTTGCGCAGCTCCGTCGGCGTGCAGGGGCGACAGGCCAATCGTGAGTGAGTCGACTGCATTCGTGGCATAAGGAGCGGGAATAATACAAGAGACGAGGAACGAGGAACGCTCCTTTGAAAGGATAGCGCAAACAACCGAAGGATTCTTTGTTTTCCTGTTTCTACATGTACTTCGTAGGATAGATTATTGAGACACAAGCAAATGCTCGGCGTGGATGAGAGGGCCAGCCACTCTTTGAAATTGGACATGTTCACAGATGATCCGTTCCTCGAGATTTGTGGGGAGGGGAGAGAACGTGGGACCGGCGCCCATGGAAGGGGCAATCGAAGGTTGTCTTGGGAGTTCTTGGAAGGTAGTACCAAGGCTGGAAATTGCGTATTACAACATCAATCGATTAATTCACCCTTCCATTCGACCCTTCGGTTGTCGATTAATCGGTTTCCTTCCTTTTTTCTCTCTTTTTGTTTCCTCCCTTATGTTCTTTTTCTTCCTTCCATTCCTTTAGGGGATTAATATGGTTTCATAGCCCTGATAGTTTCTAGCGATGGAACGGTGCCATGGATATGAAAATCAAGAAGAGACAAACCAGCCATTTGGGCCACTAGTTGCTACAGAGTGCCTTGCCGTTGCTTTCGTTTTTTTCCCATTCGATGTAATGTTTGATATTATCGCCCAAGTGCACACCCATGCCAAAGCTGCTCACCCATTATCCTTTCCCCCATCAACGAGAGGCAGCTTTGTCTCTTCAACCCTGCCCAGAGGAGAAGGATGTTTTGCCGGTCGTAACGTCGCAAGGATGAAAGGGGATATACGGCAGAAGAATGGAAAAACACAAGAGGTCCACCGGCTCACGGCGGCAGAGCAGGTCGAGCAGGCAGGATAGCGTCGGGACGCTCCATTTAGCGATGCCGGCCTGCCGGGTTGGGGCTGATGAAAGGCCACCGCTCGACGACAACCCCGAAGCTAAGTTCTGAGGCATCAGTGGCTGATCTATGAGTGAATACTATTGATGAAATAGTTCACTTTTGCCCATTCCCCCTTTTTTTTCTTCTTTTTTTTTTTTTTTTGGTTTTCTTTTCCCCTCCTCTGGCCAGCCTCATAGGCCAGGAATGCTACCTGTCATCCAGAGCCTCCTCTAGCGGTCCGTCCCACGCAGCATTTGATTTGGTCGATTCCATGCGTATGATCTGCGCCGACCCACCACCAGCAGAATCCCGTCACGACCTCTTTGGAACTCGGATGCGCTTCTCCGCAAATGCTTGGTCGACGAGTAGAGCCTACCGCCGCTGGAGGGGCGTTCTGCAGGTGAAGGGGATTCCCCCAGGCGTGACCAATCCTTTGGCGAATCAAAGAGGCTTGATGATGCTGGTGTTGGAGTCGGATTCAGTTGGCATCAGGAATGAGCTGTAATACCTGCTATTGCCGGTCTTGAGTCAAATCAGCTGGCTAGCTCAAGTCCACCATCCGTACCGTCATGAGCGACCCCTAATTGGGTGGATGGAGTGCAGAGGAGTAGATGGAGAGGTTTAGTAAGAGGGAAAGATTGAGATTGCTAGTCGGCAGTCGCCCTTGTCCGTGTCCATGTAACGTTCTATTCAAGCCCTCCAGAGGTCAATTGGGGTATAAACAACATTGAACTATGCAATCTAGCGTAAGCCCTTTGCTTTTCCCCAACTCTGGGCTTGTTGACCTTCTTCCTTGAAGACCCTGTGTTATCCTTTCATGGATATTACTTCTGATGAAGGAACAAGCACACAACGCCAGCCTAGGGCGTATCGGGAGGTGGACGCACTGATTGACCCCCTTCCTTTTCGAAGTTCTTTTTGATCTCTCTTTTTCGTTTCTTTTCTTTTTTCCTCTTTCTCCTTGGTGGCCCAGGGTTTGGCTAGTAGAGAGGCATGAATATTGCTCAGGACCCTTGTTTGAGGGACCCTTCGGTTTTGAGTCATTATTTCATTCGTGGCTGGGCGGCTTCATGAGACAAGACAATCACTGATACTACAGATATACATGGACAAGATGGAGTACAAGTTGGCCAAGCCCACGAGTAAAACACCCTTGTACGAAATCGCTTTCTAGCTTTTATTTCTTCTTCTTCTTCTTCTTTTCTTCGTGTCTTCTCCAGATTCTCGGGCGCTTTGGGATTGGGGCGTGAGAAAGGGCCAGGGCGGCTTCTTCTTGGCACCAAGTGTCACACTGTCCGTTTCCTCGGGGCCACGGGTTCATCAAATTTCTGGTTTCCCACGGACTGTCTTGCTCCAACCTTGAACAATGGTACTCGGCTGTTGAGGGAACCTTGGGGTGGGGCGGAAGGAGCAAATAGGCCTAGCTGGAATCCAATTCATGTTGCAATTGAAAAGACTGGGACTACTTCGTAGATAGTTTTTCCGCCTCCTTCATGGTCGGTTTTCTTTGTCATTGAAGGGTCTGACCTAGTCCCAGCTGATGACTTGCTTTGATCGATAGACTAAAGCATGGCCGAGGCATCCACAATCAACAATCAACAATCAACAATCGATAAACACTCCGGAGGCACTTGTTGAGCTTGAGGCGGGCTACGCGGGCGAAGAATAGACGCGTATCACATGAACTTCGCGGAGTCATCTTGGTTCCAACCGCAAATTTAGTGGTAATACAAGGAGTGGGGAGCGGACAAGGAGCGAGCATCGATTCCCCCATGCCCGATTTGGAGCTGCACTCCACAAATAGCTCTGCGATAGCCCCATCCCTGCCCCTAGAGGGAGCTTGCCATTTCCGGCGCCCAGATCCTGTCAAATATCAATCATCGAATTAAACCACGTCACAACATGTCTGAAAGGACACTCACAACAGTCGTTCGCATTGTCCGGTCTGTTTCTTCAAGGCGCCTGTTATGATGCGCAAAGAAAATGGGAGAGAGGACGACGTGGGATGGATGGGGCACTTCCATTGATAACCCTGGCCTGTAACACTCGTGGTGTAATTTACATGATCAGAGGAAGATGGATATCAGGCAGTTCCAATCAACCCCATGTCCAGGGAAACAAAGCCAGGCGAAACCGTTTTGGGGAGGTCATCCATCGCACCACGAGGTCATTCCTCCACATTACAGCTTCCTTTATCCCAGGCCCTTCCTGCATTGCCCAGGGCTACCTTCCCCTAGCGTTCGTGGATTTAGGTTCTTTACCACTGTTTTTTATTTTTCGGAGTCACGAGTGCTCCTGACCCTTGTACCATTGATTGATTCGAATCATTCCCGAGCAAGGTTGACTGCCAGTCATTCTCAGCACAAGCCCCCGGTGATCCAGAACCTTTTGAGTTTGAGACCTTCGCCCACTTTCGCATTTGCTTCATCTCGCGTCGCCTTTCGTAGCGCACCTTTTTCACTCCTTCGTCTCTCTTCTCTTCTCTTTTCTTTCTTCTTTCCGCATACCCGCAGACATCCTCATAGATGGACATCTCGCCTGCGTCCATTGGGCAATGTTTGTCTGCTCTAATCCAACGCTGAATCTCATTGTCCCTCTGTTACATGTAACGCGATTCCATCTGGATCAATGTGATAGGGATCCCATTGACCTCCCCATTCCCCATTTCTTATTACTCGCCCCTGGTCACGGCATTGGTTGTCCCTGATTCGGGCAAGGCATGTTCCTGACTTATTATCGTCATCTGCTCCCCTCCCTCTCGACCACACCACTCTTCCCGTCTGCGCATCTACATTCCTCAATACAGTCTCGTCTTGTACTCTAGGCAGACATCGCCCACTGAGAATGCTCTCAGAGCTTTGAATCATTCAATCAATCAATTGGCTCGTCCCGTTACCAACCAATCCAGCCCACTCAGGTTGCACCACCACCCGCTGGCACACCCGTTTCTGTAACGCTAGAATACTATCCATCATAAATGCCCCCAACCTAGCCTTGGTCGCCTCGCCGTCTTCAAGGTCCTTCACTTTGAGCTCCCACCTCCCTCTCACCATCCCTGCAGACCTATCGATTTACCAATTCCTCCTACGTTTTTATTATCCTGGCCTTTCTCCACCTCGCTCCCTTCCTCCTCCCTTGATCGAGAGCAATCGACCCTCTTTGTGCCCCGCCTCCGTTAAGGGAAGCGGCTACTCAAGTGCCACCATTGAAGCAGAGGACGTCGACTTCCTGTCTTGATTCAACTGGCATACTTGAAACTCTTAGTTTCTCGCAAAAAGCAACGTGTTTTCGAGAACAGTTAGCCCTGGAGAAAAAGCAGAGAGCCAAGGGTCAGATAGGAAACTGATTGAATGTCGACAAGGTCAACTGCGTGGCCCAGCACCTAGAGAAACGAGCAACAGAATCAGGGTGACGAGCTATCAGAAACCAACTCGTTGGCTGTGTTGGGTTGGTTGTTGAGCCGCTTTTGTGAGAATCCGTTTTCTTTTGTTCTTTTTTTTTCTTCTTCTTGCCCTTTCGATTCTTTTTCTTTTTCCCCTTCTCAGGCACTTCCTTTAAATCTCTTATCGTGTTCCGTTCCGTTGACGGGAATTCACGGTCCTATATAATTTTTTCGACCCATCCATCCATCCCTTATTTCCTTCTCCACAATTTCCTGCAGGCGCCGGCGCGGCTTTTTCCCTACTTCTTTTCTTACAACCCAGAATAGCCAAGGGGCTCGCTCCCCTCCGTTTGCCTCTTTTTCTTTGTCTCTCCGTGACCCTCCCTCTTTTCCCTCGCTTCTTCCCTCTCTCTTTGCTTCAAGGGCTTTTCTGTCCTAGGACTAGCTCCCTTGCCTCCGTCTTCTTGTTTCTTTTCCCAGCATTCGCGTCTCCAAACCCTTTTTCCCCCATTTCCCTGTTTGTTGCCCATTCTCCACGAGCCTCTTTTTCCCTGTCCACTTTCGCTCTTGCCCGCGCCACGAAACCCAGCTTGTTGTGCGACCGTCGGTTTCTCGCACTATACAAGTAGAGTTTTCGGCGACTCTCCACGGAAGCCTCTGAAGCCTGCTTATTTTCTTTTGACAACGCCACCCCTCAAGGGCTGCCAATCCTAACAATTTCACTCAGCTCAGCACGTGCGACTACAGCTGGTCTCGAGAAGGCGGGAGTCAGGGCCCCCAAGTCGCCGCCGCTCACCAACCCCACCACCACCACCACCCCTCCCCGTCGCATTCAACCTGTGACTTCACCACCCCCAAGGTCCCGCCTGGACAGGAACTGCTCCTCGCCTGAACTACGTTCCTCATTTACAACTCCAGGCACGGAACGCAAGCATTTCATCTCCACCCTCACAGTACAATCCGCGACACCCCACATACCCCGTTCCGGGACAACTCCCCCAAGTCTAGCCTTCGACTCTCCCTCCTGTCGAACATGTCCGGTTCGCCATCTCGAGACTCGAAGCCAGACAACCATGCTCTACAGCATCCCAATGGCACACCTCGCTCAACTATTCCCGCATCTCCTCAGCTGATACAGATAGACACTTCGTCCCTCGGACACACGCCTCGACATGCCACCCCTCTCCGAACCTCCTTCGAAGCCTCTCCAAACACCTCCCCGGAACGCATAACCCTCTCACACGCCGAGTCCCCCATAGCAGCTATCCCACACAACACGCCCAGTTTCGCCCGCGACGATAGCTCCCTCGCCGCCGGCCCCAATCGATCCTGCCTCAACCCAAGGCTACCACCCACCGCGAAACCCTCCCAGAACCCCCAGCGGTTCCACGACGAGTAGCCTCCGCTACTACGGCGCCATCGATATCCCTCAGCCGACGCGGTCTGACTCTACGGAGGACCGAAGGCGCCTTTCTATCGGCAGGACGCTGCATCACAAGACATCCAACTCAAGCCTTGCTCCTGTGTCAAGGACACCAAGCTTCAAGCGGCCCCTCTCCAGTAGTCTCGGTAGCGCTTCCGGTACCAGCTCGCTCGTGAACAGCCCCTGATATCCGCCTTGGGAGACGTCACCCCGCTACCCTCGCCGTTGCTCTCTCAGCACTCCCCGGTCCCTGGAGAAGACTTGGCGCCAGCCCTCCGTCAAGAGAGAGCATGCCTCTTCCCAACGACCCTCACCTAACAGCCAGCCCGCAGAATATTCGCGATGATGGGTCTCCACGTACGCTCCAACACCCCCTCATACCCGCTCGACACCCACCCCGGCCCGGCATGAGCCGCAATCCACCAGCGGGAGCGGCGGCCCTTCCCACCAGCATCAGCACAGTCGCGGTCGCAGCATCAGCGTCTATGTTCCGGACCCTTTGCTAATACCAAAGCGACACGGCACTGTATCTGGCGCGCACCTAACCCCCGGAGAGGTCGAGTCCGCCGAACCACACCTGCGTAGAGAAGCCCATCTCGCAGAGGCCCGCGGTATCACACCCACAATCACGAAACCCCCGACGCCGCCCCTCTGAATCATCGAGGGATACCGAAGTCGCCGATGCCCCTGCAGATAAGGGCAAACCTAATACATCCGAAATTTTCAAGGCGAGGGACAGATTCGACGGAAAGAAGCGCAAATGGCAGGCCGTCAGATTCCTTGGCCAGGGAACCTTCAGCAGGGTCATCCTCGCTACAAGCCAGATAGGCGCTGAAAATAACAACAGTTCTACCAGAAAGTCTGGCGCTCCTACTCCGACAATGGACCCTGATCGCAAGACCCTCGTTGCTGTCAAAGTGTGCGAGCACGGTCCTCGAGGAGGTGCAAGCGAGGATCGAATCGAGATGAGCTTGAAGCGTGAGCTCGAGATCATGAAGTGCATTAGGCACCCTTCCCTCGTTCACCTCAAGGCCTGGAGCATCGAGCCTACGCGTGCTCTCCTCGTTCTTAGCTATTGCCCAGGCGGTGACTTGTTCGACGTGGCCACCAGTCATCGCGAGTTGCTCGGGCCCTCTCTTTTGAGGAGGATGTTTGCCGAGCTGATTGGGGCGGTCCAGTATCTGCACAACCAGCTCATCGTCCACAGAGACATCAAGCTTGAGAGTAAGTCCCCACAGAATACCTTGTCTTTCAGGAGAATCATCACCCCTTCATACAAGGGGATGCTAACATTGACCCCGCAGACGTCCTTGTCAACATGCCCGCCTCGGAACTCGCCGACCCCACCATTGATTGGGTCAAGTATCCCCATTCCGTCATAACTTTGACCGACTTGGGTCTCTCAAGGCGGATCGCAGAAGACGAGAGGCTGGAGACGCGATGTGGATCCGATGACTATGCCGCCCCCGAGGTCATCATGGGCCAACCCTACGACGGCCGGGCTACCGACGCGTGGTCCTTGGGCGTCCTTTTATACGCCTTACTTGAGGCACGACTACCCTTTGATCCCGCGCCCAACATGGGTGACGCGCACCGCATGCGCAGTCGAACAAGCCACCGGATCGCGCGTGTGGAGTGGCGGTGGGCCGAGTATGGTGGAGGTGAGGATGGTGACCACGAAGCCGACATTGAAAAGTTCCGGAAAAGAGATCTCGTCGGTGCGATGGAAATTACCGAAGGTCTCCTGAAGCGTGCGCGTAGCCGATGGACCATCGACAAACTAGCCAGCTCGCCTTGGGTAGCGGGAGGCATCGACCTTGCTAACGGCGTCACATTCAGAGAAGAGGAAAAGGCGGAAGAGGTTGCCTAATTTCGTCTCGGTCGTGCCCCGTCCCAAGACCCCAGGGCGAGCCCTCTTGTCGCGTGCCTGTCACCTCACTACGTTTGCCACAGACGTGCACGTCAATCCATGCGAAACGAGCCGGCTGGGAACCATGCGAGACGATGCATCTAGCCCCAACTGACACGACAGGACATAGGAGAGTCCAATCCATGTCTTCCTTCTTTCCTTCTTACTTCTTCTCGTGGTGTTATTTTATTCCTTTTCATCACCCTCGCTCTCCTTTATTCGATTGTACACTATCACATGCATCATTTTTTGGGTTATCCTCCTTTGACGAGTTGGATAATACCTTTCTTCACTTTGTCCTTCCCTTCTTCACCTTCTCTTCTTCCTATTCTTGGCGAAAGCATTATGAGGCGTGGACTTTCTTTCTTTATCCTTATTTCTAGCCTTAAGCGTCTAGCCCCGTTCTCTTTCTTCTCCTTCTTGGATCCGAAACTTTCTACTTCCTTCTTCTATCAGAGGCCACGATTTGGCCTTGGGGGACATATCTCTGGGAAACTCTGCCTCGCGCCGTTTTGGTATCTCAGCAGACCTCATCTGGGGCGCTGCCCACATCCTTGGTATAGACTCTTTTTCTTGTCGTTTTGGCTTGTCGACTCATGTGCGCCTTTTTTATTCTTCGTTTTCTTTTTGACCCTTTTCCTCCGTTTTAGAATACCTGTACACTAGAGAGAACAAACAACACGTAGGAACCGCTTACGATGATAATAATATTTGGACTCGCATCCAATGGCAAGGCCAAGGAAATGACACCATGGGAAGGCATGAAGAAGGAATCCAAAATCATTATATATATACATCTATTGTTGGAGACGTTAGTCTCTTTTCCTTTTCTCATGTATAATGACGATAGATGGGTAATGCAAGTTTTGTTAATGTCCCTATAAGATATATATATATATATTATTATATATATATATGGATGCCTCTAGATACATAATCATGAGCCATGTGTATGTGTGTCTGGGGGAAGAAACATTTGAAAGTGCCGTCCAGTCTTGTCTTCAAGGAGAGAGAGAGGGATAGAGAAGGTATATATGTGTCTATGTGTCTATGAAATGAAAGGCGATGTCCCTTAAGATGGCTTGGAGTGAAGGGCCGCGCCTGATCCCTCTTGTTGACTCCATAAAGACCATCGCCTGCTAGCCTCGTGATCTGAGGGAGGCTGGGAAAGAATGGAAATGTGAGTCGGTATTTATGAGGAGCCAGAAGTGACCGAATAGTATTCGGGATCGACCGAATGTGAAGGCCAACTTATCGGCCAAGAGAGGTTCCAGCCACATTCCATCTTCTATCTTCACATAATGTCTTGACGCTAGGGAAAGGGGGGTTTTTTTTTTTTGTTGAATTTCTTTTGGGTTTTGGGTTTTGAGCTCCACGATCATGGAGATTTCATCAATATAAGGCTAAACATGTCAGCCTAGCGAGGAGGCAGCTGGTAGAAGGGACCATCCTCCCAGGATAGCCATTTCACCACCTCGGTCTTAGTCGGCCTCAGGTTGGTCGTCCTACTATTCGGTCTGCCCGGTGAGAGAATCCAGTGAGGGGGAAATATGGCGGGACGTCTAGGGATCTAGGGTCAGGTACAGAATCTTGGTTTACATCCGGAATTCATCAAATGGTTTTCAAGCATCAATCACTGCTCCTTTGGCTGTGGAGGTCAAAAGACCCTGGTGCGAAGGAGGGAAAACAGTCCAAAACCTTGAGCGGGAAGGGTGAGAGCGATTAGAGTGGGGGCATGCCAGAGCGCGGAAGGCTTTGTCACCGAAGGGGGCGTTATTGGGACCATCAAATCACTGTTATCGCCCAAGTCTTTGCTATCTTGCCCTGTGCCTCGATGATAATGCTTCTGGTCCCCTGTAGAGTGGAGACACATATCCTCGTAGCTTGCAGCTTGGGGGAGGGGGGAACTGCCTCCCAAAGAAGAAGGTGGGAGAGCGGGAAGCAAGGGGAGAGACCCTGCTCTTCTTCTGTTTCTTCTTTGACCCTCTCCCGGGGTCTCTTTCGGGGCCCGCCGCTCTCCTCTTTGTGCCTGTCGGGGGACGTGTCGTGATGGGTGAGATAATACAGGGGCTCTTCTCGAGAGGAAGGGGGAGGTAACAGGGTGGGGCGTGCGGGGATGGCGAGCTGAGAAAGGTTAGGCTTCTATCATGAGACGAGCTACGGGGAACTTTTTGCAAAAGAAGAAATCGAATGCGAAAGGAAAAGGAAAACCCCCTGAAAAAGGCCAAGCGGGAAGGAGAGTTTGCATATAATTGCTCTCCGTTATAATGCGACACATGCTCGCAGGAGAGGTGATTTGAGCTCACCGTGCGTTTGAGGGCGCCTTGCGTGATAGCAGCTGGGTGTTATCATGCGGGACTTGGGAGTGTTTTGGGGAGTTGTCTCCGGCGATACGAGAAGGGTCCTGGTGTCGGATACAACACACCTTTTTTTTTTTTTTTGGAATCTTTTTTTTGAGGCTCTGCGACGGCGGCGAATTGGACGCCTTTGATTAGCTTCCACTCAATTGTAATATCAAAGCCTCCATCTTCCTGCTGGAAGGCGAGGGAATGCTCCCCCTTTGCTAGCCCGAGGCCCCTTCTTCGAGAATGGGTCTAATACCAGGGATTCCTTCGCATAATCCTGAAGTGTATTAACCAAATCCACTGGCTCCTTCGCAGGAACAACCGCGCGCGTGCGCGCTGAATGATCGAGCCCCACCACGAACGCGTGCGAGAAGGGCAAAAGTTGATATCGGGATCCATCTGTGGATCAACCTCGGTATAGTAGATTGCATCCAGTAGATATCAAATGGGTCCAATGGAGGTTTGGAATTTTGCAATGGTGTTTTTATAGGGTATTCGGCATACCGTCCCGGCGTGCCTCCCTATAGGGAAAGAATGTTAATTCAGCCAAGCTTGTGGTATCCATCCGCGCCTCCAGAAGTATATGACTCATTTTCCATATTCAATGTTGCTTCTAATATTATTCCTTCCCATCTTTGCCCTTTCTCCACACCCAGTACTCTCAATAACATATAAGCCTATATGATACCTCTTGAATTTCAAGCCCCCACATAGGCCCCCGTTTTAGGAGAAGAAGAGAAAGGTTTTATAAGGCTAGTAATTCGACAGTGAATTCGAACAGAAAGCACATCTGCTCAACAAAGTGATACCCAAGCATTGTAGCTCAGGGGTAGAGCACTGGGCTCATAACCCAGGGGACCTAGGATCGAAACCTAGCAATGCTATAAAGGTTTTTTTCTTCTTTGCTCCCTTCTTCAACCTCATATAGTTATCTACCACTTCTAGATTTTGTTCCTCTCTTCGCATACACTCTCCTCTAAACCTTCAACTTTTCAAGACCCTAGTGCTCTCCCTTATTTCCTTTTAAACCCGAAGTTTCAAGTTTCATTTCTCATGTGTCCTCGATATCACCAGGAAACGCGATATCTTCGAAACCACTCTGATAAGATGTTTTGTTTTCTTTTCGATTTGACCCTCGATCCCGGCCCTACCTTTCTGTTGTTGCACTGCTTCTTTCGTTTCTCTTGCTTTTGTCTCTCCCTCTCCTTCCATATCCTCTCTTATGCAGTATTTAGCGTCTCACTCCCTACGAAGCCCTTATCTCGAGGTGCACGCAGCACGAGTCAAGTGGCCACTGTGAAACCAAGCTTACACGTGTCGAGACTTTACTACTTCATCCATAGGTTTGGTTCTCGTTCTCCTAACCCCCCCAAAGTGATGAGAAGGAAGAAAAGAGAAAGAGGAAAGGAAACAGGATTAAGAAGCGGAGGCAAAAGCATACACCCTCAGTCCCTTTCGGAGGAAAAGAAAAAAATGAGAGAAGGAAAAAAATTAAACAGACAACCGTTATATCAATCTCTATACTGGATTTGCTCTTCTTGACCAAACCTACAAAGGCTGTAATAAAGGTTGTAAACCTAATCACTTCAATGTCTTCAAGACCTTTGAAGTGCATCAACTTCGCATCCGTGCCCCCACGCCTATATCTATAAGAAGCTTATAGGGAACCCGCACATTCATCATCTGAGGAGGCAGTTGAGGTAAAAACCTAGACATCGAATCTCGAGAACCTCCAAGGAGATGATGTAAGAGAAAAAGCAAGCATAAGGACGAACTCCATAAGACATCATTGATCTTTACACCCCCTCTTTCCTCTAAAACAACCTCATGAAGGAGGAAAAAGGAAAAATGAAAGGCAAGAAGAGAAAAACAAAATAAAGGAGAAAATGTATAGAAGAAAGGCTTTGCTATTATTAATGACATCATCGGCAATTGATGGCGAGTCTCGGATATTAGCTTCCTAGGCGTTTAGTATGCTCATTTTCTACCACTATCGCGCAAGTTGCTTAGAATGCCTACCATGGCTTAAGCCCCGTCGGAGAAGGTCGAAAGAAGAAGAAAAGGATAAATACGAAGTTGTGGACGCACGAGCTCTCTCGGATCCGAGGCCGTCGCCTTGCGCATAGTCACATCATAGCATGGCATCGCCGTCTATAATAGCCAAGCCAAGAAGAACAAAATAGGAAAAAGGAGCAGGGACCAAGATGGGAGTGTCAGATGTGAGTGCTCAAGCCACGGCCCGTGGTGCTGCTGTCATTTCGTTGCCCCAATTGCCCGAAACCTTCATCCTTCCTTTGCTTTTTCTTCCCGAATGGCACAACGAGGACTGCCGAGGTTCGAATCAAGGCAAAGACAGTGTCTTGGAGCGACCCGAAGGCGTTCGTGGCAGATCGAGAGACGACAGGCTTGAAACATGACTAAAAAGCAAAATGATTTCGAAGGAAGAAAGCAAAAAGCAACCATGAGGAAAAAATCAGCCTAGCAACGGGTTTGCTGGCTGCCTTAAAGGCGGTGAAAATCGAACGCAAGCCATGAGAGTCAGATAAAACAATGACGAGGTGGATGGTGACGAGGCCTAAAGAGAAAGACAAAAGAAACGAGGGAGAAAAACTAAAC